ATCTCCCCAAAACCCCAAAACCCCAAAACCCCTAATTAGAAAATCTGTATTGAAGAATTATGTCTATCCAAGAATTGTACCTCTCGTGATAGTGAACTCGTCAGGAGTTCCAAAAGTTATTTCAAAGTCCATCGTGCTCTCATGATCGTAGCTGATTTCCTGCAAGTTCATCTTTTTGAGGTACTCAAGGCAGCTCTGAGCTGTGATGAAACAGTATTGGCCAATTCCTTGCATCTCATCTTTCGGAGTATAATGGAAGGCTTTTATGTATTCTAAGTATCCAGCTAAATCGTTGATTCCAGACTTTATAAATATGAATGAAGAGAATTGCAGTATGTCATCTGCTGTTACTTCATCACTTTGATCTGAAAGGAGCAGGTAAGCTCTGGATATGGCAGTCAATCACTTTATTAATGCAGTCATCTTCTGGTGAGGAGACTCCTCAAAGGACATATTTTTCAGCTCTTTTATTGGCTTTTTCCATACAGAATGGTTAAGTTTCTTGGGTACAAAATCAGTGTACCTGATTTCATAGAACTTTTGGTTCATTTCAAAGTCAAGGTTCTTGATCTTTGGTCTAATCTTCTCATATTTGGCATACTTCGTTGAGATCAAGTTGTTAATTCAGGCTACATTCTCTTCAATAGTATTCCTCATTTGAGGCTCATCACAAACTTTTTCTTTAATTTTCTCTAAATATTTCTGATAAGTTTCTGAAATTGCTTCAAGCTCTTTGATTGGGTCTGCCTCTGTATTTTCGAAAATAGGCAGTTCAAAGAATTTAGCCATGAAGGGATCTATTCTTTTGAAGGACTCGTGCCTCATATTTTTATTTTCTTCGCTAGGCTCACTATCTTCATCTCTTTCGGTTTCGGTCTCTCGAAGACGAGGTGAGGAGGAAAAGTAGATGTCGTGGGCAGAGATTTTCTTTGACATCGACAGCTTGGCCATCTGTCTCCTTCGGAGACATTCTGATCATTTCTTGGTGTCAACAACTTTGAAAGCATTTGAATTGGCAAAATATTGTATTCAGACAGGAATGTCTGTTTGTTGGATGAATTTCATCCTAATTTCATTGCAGATTATAAAATCAAGATTCTCGAGATCTGATTTGAGCATTTCTATTTGTAAATCAAGTCTTTCACAGGAGTTTTGGATATCGTAAAGCAACCCGTCAGCTTCTTGTAAAATCTTGTCTGTTTCTTTATTTAAGCTCAGGGAGACAAGTTAGGATGAAAGATTTAATATCAACAGGGTCCTTTACCATGTCTACAAGAATCTCGTAGTTTACACATGTCTTATTTAGCCTTTTGAGCTCATTTATCTTGTTGATCTTGATCATGCTGATAATCTCTTTGAAGTCATTAGCATATTTGCTTCTAAGAGAGTAGTTATATTTGAGTTCTCAGCTTCCAAGTAGCAGGAGAAGCATAAATTTCTCAAATTTCATTTTATTTAATTTCGATATCTTTTTCAAGCTCTTCAGTAAAAGATTCCTTGTTCTCCTCAAATGGGGGTATATGAGATTGTGGATTAGCTTCAGATTGATCTTCTATCGGTTTGAAATTCTTGACATATTCCTTGTACTTTTTGATAAATCTATCCGTAATGAATTGGATCCCATTCGCTTTCTGGTATTTCTTGTTATCAGCAAGATAGAAGTAAATATCATAAACCCCTTTGGCGGTAGGGTCATTCTGGTGGTTCATAGAATCACTCCGGTCGGCTTCCTTTCCAGAAATTTCATTCATTTCTTTAGTGACAGATTTGAGTAGTTTTTCAGTATTTTCTTTAGGATTATCTTCCTCAAAAATGTTTATGTCAAACTCGTCAGTTGGGTGTTCTTGTACCTCTTCTTCTATCTGTTTAAGGGAGTCGATTCGTTTGGTAAACATTTTCTCGTATTCTTCAAGACACTCTATTGGAAAAATGAGATTTTGTTGATATACTTCTACAGAAAGGGCTATAAACTTACCAAGTGTTGTAATAGCATTCTCCAACTTGGAGTTCTTAATGTTATCCTTCTGGGAAGAATAGCTGTAGAACAGCTTGTGAATTAAGCCTTCAGAAATTCAGTATACATCAAGTAGAGGGCTTTCCCTGTATTTTCTCAGATGGATATTTTGGTTAAACTCATCACATTGGTCTGTCCTAATTCCTTTCGGGATTATTTCTCCAATTGAGATGTTCAGAATCGATTTAACGAATCTTTTACCATGCTTGTGCTGGTCTTCGATGAAATTGTGGAACAGAGTCATGAAACTTTCCTCCATTGTGTTCTTACCAGGTGCTGGACCTCTTAAAGAATGAATGAAAATTTTAGAGTATTTTAGAAAAATATCATTAAGCTTCAAAATTCTTCTGTTTGTTATCAAGCCACTATGGTCAGGATGAATAAAGATTGAGTTGACAAGCCATTTAGAAGCAAGTATCTCAACAAGAAGTCTGTATAGTTCGTTCTTAATCTTGAATCCATCTCTTGCCCCTGAGTTATCTGATTGATCGGCCATTGATTTGTTGTAGAAAGCTCAATTGATTCTATTATGTTTTTGATATAATTCGCTGATGCTCTTTAGAAAAATCCTAATTATCATAGGAACATACTTCTGTGTTACGTAGAGTGCATTAAGTATAGTCTTAAGGATCAATTTTGAGAAGTCAAGTTTATCCTTAAGGTCTTTAATTTTCTTGAGGATATCTTTCTCAGAATAGCCCTTAGCATCAGAGATACTAACAGTTCTATGATAGGCTTGATTACCAGGAATATCTAGGAACTTTGAATCTTCATCTAACTCAAGATTCTGTGATAACTGATAAGGCAGCTTACTCGTAGGCCTACCTTCGTTAGTACTTTTGACCTTATGTAAAGGCAGTATAAAGTCTGACTCAGTGTTGGAGTTCTCACTATCCTTACGTGAGGAAGCCATACTGGACATAATATCGAATTCTCTGTTACTCTGGTCCTCTTCCACTTCAGTAGAACCCTTCTTTTGGAACAGTTTGAGATTGAAGGCTGCATCTTCGAGATCTATTGTTTCAAGATAGTCTAAGTCAAGTTTTTCAAATATTTTTCCCATAGTCTGCTTAATGTAGTTTTGACTTTCTGGAAGCTTGGAGATTTGATCAAATATTCTCATCGAGAATGATGAATACAAGAAAGAGTCTAGCCTTCCTTTCTCACTCAAAATTTGCATATCAACGTCAATGATGTCATATAATCTCTCAGCAAGAGGAAATAGGGGAAATGAGGAATCATGTTGGCAAAGGAAACAGTTGACAAGACACTCTGAAAGTTCTATCTGCTCGTCACGTTTCCAATTAAGTATCACATCTCTAATGATCATTCTAAAAGAGTAAGGATCATTCTTGAACAACTTGAGCATTTCCTTAATCTGTGTGATCACAGAATAGGAGTAAATATTAGTGATTTCCTTATCAAACAGTAAACTTTTGGCCTTTTCAGCACCATCGTTCACTTTACTAGCAATCGCGAGGTAATTTATCTTGCTGGTGTATCACTTCTGGCTTTTCTCGCAAAGGTCGTCTATTTTGGAGGTAATATTTTCGTATTTGTTCTCTCCTAACTGGCTGAACTTTTTCAAGCAGTGCTGGATCTCTTCTAAATGCGAGATCAGTGTAAGCGGTTCAGACATGATCTTCTTTAAATGTAAATTATAATAACTTTTCAATTATCCTTTTATGATTGGGGTTTTGGGGTTTTGGGGTTTTGGGGTTTTGGGG